GTGTTATATTATATTGTGAAGATTGTTTCTTTTTCCCGCAAATTGGATATTGGTTAAATCTGCTTAGTAATTAGTGTTTGTTAATTATTTATTTAGTATTAATCTATTTTATTTCAATGAGTAATACATGCACAGTAGGCCAACATTGGAAACAACAACACACCAGATTCCTTTTATTCTTTACTAGCTTCTGCCAACGGCTTCGCCCGGGATCCCAGGGAGAAAATGCCAATGTATTACTTCACACCATACTCTACCTCTTTTCCGAATTTCATTCCGGTCCCTTCAGTCGTTTTAATATGACTGAGTAACAAACATACATAAACACATAAGCTCACATATTTTCACATTTATAATATAGAGTCAAGCTAATTTCAGCCATCGACCCTACAGTTACAGCGTAAAGTCTATGGATGAGTATTGTAAACGTAAGAGTAAAAAATATAAGCAGAAAGCTCCGAACTGCTAAGCTATCGGGAGTTACACGTGTTATTGTAAGTCAACCATAAAAGATAGACATGTGCTGTTGTAGGATATTATTTAGATAATTTTAAGTAGAACATTTCCGTCATACATGATTTCTATGTAGCTTTAACTATTAAGCCTGCACACGCAACGGAAGCTTAAAAAATGGAGTAACTTCTCCCGTTTTCCCAATATTTCCCTTCACTGCTCTGCTCCTATTGATGCGTAATGAAAAGTATACTATAACCTGCCCAAGAGTATTAAGAATAATTGTGCCAAATTTCGTTAAAATCCGTCGAGTAGTTTTTGTTTCCATAACGAACATACAAACAGACAGACAGACAGACAAAAATTTAGCGATCCCTAACCACCCCTTGATAGTTATTTTTTAAATACATTTTATGTACAGAATTGACCTCTCTACAGATTTATTATAAGTATAGATATAGAATAGATTAATAAATGTCATTGGAATCTCATACATTTCGGTAACACATACCTACGTATGAATAGTTATAATAAAAATTACTATTTATTCAGTATTTATAAATATTGACTTTTTATCCCAAAAACACGCTTAGCTCTGTGTAGTTACATAATAACGTGATTTATTTCTAATGCTGACCTTAGTCCAGCATTCTATAAATTGCGCATGTGTGTTTTAATCAAATTTTAAGTAATGTTTGGTCTGCTTATCTATAAGTACAGACTTATAGTCTGTGGTCGGAGCCACGCCGGAGCCGTGCTAGTTAGATGGGCGATGACCTTAAATCGCCCATCTAACTAACAGCATTTTGTAAATACAACAATACACATTTGTGACATTACTTCTCCTATACTTATTATACTCTTTGCATTACGTTCACCTTTTTTTCAACTTCCTTGTATAAAACCACTGCCTCGTTAGCCAAGTGGTCACAAGTACGACTGCTGGGCAAGGGATCTTGGGTTCGATTTCCGGGTCGGGCAAAGTATTATTGATTATTTTTATAAAATTGTCAGTAATAGGACGGAGTCTAGAGTACATGGCAATGAGCTCACCCCCTATTATATGGAAATCATAACATTAATAATGAAAATTGGGTGTTACATTATACAATGGCATTAAGTGCTGTAATATGCACCTCTGCCTACCTCTTTAAGGATAAAAGGTATGATGTTCTGTATGAAACTGGGTACGACGTACGAGACGACGACGAGGTGTATGGGTGTTTTCATCAATATAAGCCTGCAAATAGATTTACTATTGGCAGGCTCAAAAAACATTTATTCAAGTTTGAAAGATTTACTCATCTCTACCCTTTCTTGACAGAAATCCAAAATAACCTCACTTCGCCATTGTTCTAAAGGCATTACAGAATTTAAGAAGTTATTAAATATGGCAAAACCAGTGGACTTGGAACTGAAAAAAGCATTTATTGAATTGCAACTTAAAATGGTGGAAACCAGTGAAAAAATTCAAGTGATAGATTCTCAAATAGAAGTACTCAAACGCGTCTTGCAGCATGTTGATATTACTCAACGAGAGATTAGTACATTTCCACCTGCGACTAAAACTTATGAATCCGTTGGCAGAATGTTCCTCCTCACCGATTTAGATGAGGTCAAGAACAACTTAAAGACACGAAAGTCGCAATTATCGACTCGTATAACAGAATTAGAGAACAATACACAGTATTTAGAGAAGAATCTGAAAGAGAGTGAAGACAACATCAGAGAAATGGTACAACAGAGGAAAGAGCAAAGTGACGCTAAATCTAACTAAAGAATATATTTTTCGGCTTTATTTATACAGCAATACTTTAAAATTTAAATAGTTATAATGAAAAGAGAAGTTTTAATAAAACCACTGAACTTTGAACCTGCTTATAGCCTAGTGGGTGAATAGTAAGCTTTTTAATGTTACTTACAATTAATAAATAATAGAAGTATACAATTTTATATTTGATTAATCTTTTATTCCGTTTAGAGCAGGTTGTTACAACAGGAACAATAATAGTTCTTTAATTTTCTTTTGAACCTATGTTGCATTAATTAATATTTTAATTTTACCAGTAGCTGCATGATAGATTTTATTGTTTACTTGTAGGATATAATTATTCTTGATTTTAATGTATCTTTTCATTTCATAAAACTTATTTGCCTAATTATGTTCATAAAGATATTTCATTTATTCAAAATGTTTGCTTGCTTATTGAGTAGTTTCTATTTGCAGGATGAGATTTTGTTATGCAGTGCAGAATTCTGCATCTGGGCCCATTCAACGTTATTAAACTAAACTAATGGACAAGCATTAGTGTTTTATGGTTTAAGTGTTGATTGACTATATAATAACATAATACATTAAAGTGAGATACTGATCCAAGCGCTTTACTATGCTAAACAGAACACAATAAATAATTTTTCAGAATTCGTTTTTTATTTATCATGAGTGTTAATATTCCTTGCAGTATTAAAATAAAAATATATGAAGATATTAATAATAATTAACCTAATATAACATATAAATAAAGAAACCATAAGAAATATTGTAGATTTACATACATATTAATATTCTCACACCTGTTTCTCATGGGAAAGGCCGTGACTGGAATGGCAATATACTGTGAAATTATGTTTATTGCCATGGCAATTTTGTGTATATGTTCTATTGCAATATGACGATTTTAGAAAACATACTATGTTTCAATACTTGATGTAGGTATACATGTTTACGATACCTACCTTATTGTTATCTGCAAGGTTTGTTGCAGATAACAATAATATTGATCACCAATAGGTAGTCAGATTTGGTACAACAAAGTTAAACTTCTGCCTCCAATAAAAGAAAACTGAATTTATCAAGACATTTGGATAACAACAAGAAATCATCAACACCACCAACCATTATTATCATCATCACCTTTTACCACTCCACCCGCTGACCAGCCAGAAACAATTTAGTGGTCTTTAGAGGTGGGTAGGCAGGCAGGGCCGTATTAGACTATGCTGGGGTCCTTGGGCACACACATTGATTTGTGTGTGCCCAAGTTCTCAATCTTTCTTTTCTCCTGTATCGTAATTGTGTTTACAAACAACTATCTGGATATCAAGTGTATGTGACACTTGATATCCAGAACAACAATTTATGGATCACAAAGATTTGGTCCGTGCGGGAATCGATCCCGCTACATGTTACTCACAACGTGTAGCGGGTGTGTGACAGTCGTAGAAATTGTCGGTCCCTCGGGGTTCCCTGAGAATGGGGGCCCAGAGCACAGGCCCCGATTGCCCTTATGGTAAAGATGGTAGTGTAGGTAGGTAGGTTGCCAAGAGCTAACATTAAGAGTACGACTTGGAGCAGAAGTTGGAATGGATTGCTTTTGAGTCAGTAAGAATCTTGCCAGGACAAACTCCCATCTCACCCACTTGATGGGACCTACAAACGATGAAACCTTCCAATTATCTTACCTACACATATCTGCATTATAGCTTTCTTGAGATACCCATACTAAATTAACTAACTGATGCTAGGGCTATTCATGAACAGTTTTGGGCGTTACACGAGTTCACGACACACAAGTGTCACACGTGCTAGCTATAATAGTAGATGCGTCACGTACGCCACGTATCGTCTGTTCGTGCAAAGCAGGTCATGAATATGAGCCCTTGGTGTGGCTTGAAACTAGTAGAGTTCTTCGTCAAATAGACTCAAACAATAACGCCCGTGAGGGGGCTTACATAGCATATATTATATGCTATGTGGGCTTACTCACACTTTATCGGCTCTATGCATTATCTTATGGTGGATTATTAGACAATGCGTTAAGTCCGCCAATGTATACTTTATACTAAAATGTAAATAAAAGGCACAGGGAGCTGATGGATGCACTTCCAATCTTTCTTACTTTTGCTGATGTGTGATCTGGAAGTCGCTGATGGGTAAAGAATATAATAAGTATCTGGTAGGGGAGGAGGCCTATATCAGTTTGTAGACGTGCGCCTGGTAGACCCATCACAGCACCACAAATGGGACCCGCCCAGTAGGGCTATAGCTGACCAGGGCTACAGATAATCTCAAGGGTTACCGAGACTCCGGCTCAGTACAGGAGTTGGAACGGGATAGTTTTTGTAGTCTGATACTTCCGCATGGGGTGAGGCGAGAGGAGACATTTAAAGATTTTGCTCCCTCATACAAGGCCTGTATTCAGCAGATGCTATCTTGTAGCTGATAATTATGATTATCATCTCGTATCTCTATGATACGAGAGGACACCTGACATTGACAACACCCGGGCGCCACGAGACTGACAAACAAAGGGGTCTCGCGTTAATTCCTGGATCATTGTTTCCAAATACCTCAGTACGACCATAAAGTGAGAAATAGTGTGCAGTATAGAGAAGCTGTCGCAGATGAACCTCTATTGAACATGATTACAAAGGATTGATGGATAACATAACTTTATGAATAGTACAGACAGAACATAGCATCAGGGCAGTCTTAGACTACGCTGGCCCCCATGGGCACACAATAATTTGGGGCCCTCTTGCGGAAAGTTTCTTTTTTTAACGTTGCACCACATCAGGATTTTCTTCTGTACACCCAGACCCGAAACCACAATTTGTGGATCATACACAGGTTTGCTCCATGCGGGAATCGAACCCGTTACACGTTGCGGAGCAGCCAGTGCAGGGACAGTGTAGCGGGTTTATGTAAATCGTGGAAATCGGTCCTTCGGGGCCCACCGATTATGGGGGCTCTAGGCACGGGCCCAGAGTGCCCTTATGGTAAAGACGGTCCCGATAGCATAGCGTAAGTTACCTCTACTACCAGCAACATTAACAACAGTAATATACAGGCTGTGCCTAGTTTGGGGCCCACGGGAACATGTGCCGTATTTGCGTTTATGTGAATGCTGTTCGCTTCCATGCCTACATGTAATCTAACTTGTGTATACCAATAAATAAATTTTTATTTTTTTTAATATCTGAATTGAGTAGTTAAAACTGTTGAGATGTTAAGATCGTTATAATGCGTCTAGATAAAAGAGTATCATAAGTATCTAGATCTAGTTGTGTGTTTATGTTTTATGTTTGAACACCGACCGCGCGCAATTTGTCTTTTTTTCCAACATCAAGGATGTTGTAAAAAAGTGTTGAGTGACATGTTCTCAAGAGACATCTAGACCTAGACTCTAGACGCACCATAATATCAACAAACACCTATTTTCCGTTTCGATAAAAGGAGGTAGCAAAGAATACGAAGGTTATCTTTATCAACAAGTCGATTATTTTCAAAATTTTTATTTTTACACAAGAAGAATTGTTTTCAATAATTCTTATATGAATTTTTTAATACTAAGTTCATGAATTTCATTTAAACTAAATTATATCTTAACGAAAAATACTTAAATTGCTACTAAACGTTGATCGTAAATAAAATAGTGAAATATTTACACAACAATCTAAATTAAGTAGTATAACGTAAAATTTAAATTTATATAATAACAAATTCATGTGACCTTATTAAATGGTAATAATGTTCAGTAAATTAAAGCTAAAAAGCTTAAAAAGCATTATAATGAATGAATTATAATTAATTAAATAATTAATAAATGTTTTAACATTAAAATATTTATATGAGTATAAAATACCTAGTGATATTGCAAAGACTGCTTCTTTATAATCAATAATTATTAATACAGATAATCACATACTAATTTTAACACTTTACTATTTAATTTAATAAAATATTGAGTATACATGGAATGGGCAAATAAAATTGTACTAATTAAGCGTTTTCTATTCCATATAAGGATAACGTATAAACCTTGGGGTAATAGCCTACGCAACTACGGGCTTATATTAACAACCTTATCGTTTAACATAATTACGAAACACGAAAGAGTTCCCTCACTAAAGTGATGTGTATATATTATTCCTGGAACCGTTTAAGAAGCAGTCTCTCATCCAGTCATCACAGGCTATGCGAATACTATTATTATATAAAATAATTATAATCGATTAAAGATTAACTTGTCATGATATAAAATAAACATTGCCATTACAATAATGTGTGAATAAGAAATAATCATAAAATCTTCACAAAATGCTACATTATTTAAATCTACAAACAATATAAATTACACTTTCCTATAACAAGTCACATTTATGATTATTTATTTAGGATTCCACATAAGAAGCTATGCTACTGTTACTGTTTACTTCTCTAGAGCCAAGAGGGTCGATTAATGTCGTACGGTTGCCTGACGCCAAGGGTCGGAGGATAGCCGCCGGGATACAAGCTCATAATCTGTGCACCTGTTTGCCGTAATAACTCTTCTTGATGTTGAAGATATTGCTGATACAATGGTGAAGTCGGGTCTGTCCCTACGAAAGGATAACCAGCTCTGACTTGTGAGTGGCCAATAAAGGGAAACGAGCTCGCTGTATGTGTTGAATTTTGATGCGCGGGTTTCACTAACTTTTCTGCATTTACCTCGGCATTATTGCGCTGCTGATGTGCAACGGCTGCAACCATGTAGTTGGCTGCCATAAGCTGATTAGCAGTACTATTACGGAAGTCTTCAATTGAAAAGCTGCCATTATCTCCATATAGTCCACTGCTTAAAGCCATGTTTGTTGATGTTCCAAAATTGAATGCATTTCCAGGCATCATAGTTGATTTTACAGATGACAAAACATCTGTGCCACATGAATTAGGGTGGTATGATTGACTGATCTGTGCTGTTTGCTTTGTCTCAGAGGTTCTCTTCCTCTTGTTCTTTGTTTTCACATCTGGTGCAGCATTGCAAGTTTTATAAATACTATTATCCTTACTCATTGCCATGGATGGCTGAGAATACACACTAACAGAGGTGCTTACCGGATGTATGTCTGAAGAAATACTTTTATTAAACATTTGCGCCATTTGAAATGATTTGTCATGGTACAAAGACGCTGCTTGGCTACTAGCAAAAGAAGATAAATATCTCTCATCATTAGTGTACCTCTCCAACATCTGCGGGATATTTGGCAAGTTCCGCAATGTGTCCAGTGGCAGTGAAGTAGGATTGCTGTATGGTGTCTTGTATGGGTTCGAACTTACTAAAGGATGATTTTGTACAAGTTTCTCAGGTTTCTGAGATTTGGCAAGTGTATCTATATTTTTGGCAATTGCATCAGTATCACTCATTGATGATGTTGTAGTCATATGATCATTCTTAAGAAGACCTCTGGGATTAGGTATTCTCAACTCTCCAGGAAGATTTTGTTGCAAATCTTGGGTTCTTTGTAAATTCGGCCTTGTCATATTATATGAATTATATTGCTGATGCTGAAGGTTCTTATTGTATGCAATTGTGTTAGCACTTATTGCAGTCATTTCATTTTTTAATTTTTCCACATTGTTGGCACTATAGGGCGTAGAAT